CTGCATTGCAGGCAGATTCTTTACCTTCTGAGACATCAGGAAAGCCCGAAGATATAGCCTCCTGCCACCTCCAAATCCATCTTTCACACTAGAGTCTTAAGTGGTATTTCTAAAATATAAATCTGATTAAGTAGGTCCTCCCCTGGCCTCCCACTGTTGGAATAAAGTCCCACCCACCTTCCTCTCCTTAGTCTCCTCACACCCACCCCGAAGCCTGCTTCCCACCAGCTTTCCTAAACATCCTGCAGGTCCCAGAGGTGCTGGTGGAATGTGCTTTGGTGCCCACAGGCCCTCCTCCTCTGCCTGGTGATGTCCTGCTATCTCACGTGCCATAGCTCATCCACCTCCTCCGGGAAGCTATCCCCCATCCCTGCCTCGAGCCTGTGCACTGGGCCCTCCTCTTTGCCATGCACAGGCTCACAATGGTGCATGGGTCCCACCTGCTCCTTGCTAGTTGATGTGTGTATCTCCTTGCTAGACTGAGGACTCTTGGAGGGAGGGGACCAGGGCTCATTCAACTTTGTCCTCTGGTGCCTCAAGACTGGGCACACATTACATGTTTAATAAATGTTTTCTTGAAGACCTGGTGATAAAGGAATGACATTGTATAAGCAGGTGAAGCTCCACCTGGAAAGCTCTGCATGTAGGGTTTGTGTTTAAGGGGTCTGGCTTCCAGGACCTCCATGTGCCGTCTGGTTCTGTTACTTCTAATAATGGAACACAGATCTCAGGGCTGCCTCCCACTGCCCCTGCCTGCCACCACCATCCATCCAGAAGGGCAGGCAGACACAGGGCGGGCAGAGTCAAGCCTCAAAATATTCAACCTTCTAACTGGTTCTCAAACTGTAGTGTGTATCAAAGTTACCTACAAGGCCTGTTAACACAGATTGCCAGGCTCTACCCCAGACTTTCTGATCTGGTAGGCCTGGGCAGAACCCAAGAATCTGCATCTCTTAACAGCTTCCCAGGTGCTGCTGAAGGTGCTGGTCTGGGGATTACTCTTTGAGAATCTCTCTTCTAGCAAAAGGATCTGCTTTAAAAACAGTTACTCTCTGTGATGTTGGGGAAGGAGATAAGGGAAGCTTTTTGCTGGGATTTGGTTTTGTAGGTTTTAAGAACTATTAGTGTGAGATTAATGTGGATAGATGGAGCTGGTTCTACACACCTACCTCCTCCCCCATCTCCTGGTTTTCTACAAAGCCTTGCTGGGTTCACTCATCAGCTATTCAGTGGGTATGTTTGGAAGGTGTAAAATGTGTTTGGCAGCATGAGAGGTAGAGTCGTTGACATCGAGAGGAAATTGATATGAAATGGTCCTAGGAGAGGCCCTCCAGTGCAGTTCTAGCCATAATTTAAGGAAATCAAAGAAGAAATGTCTGCTTGGGTGGGTAGTGAGTTCCCCACCAGTGGAGTTGTTCCAGAAAGGCATCTAGAGTGTTTGTGGGAATAAAACAATTGGATAACTAGTTAGACCACATGACTCTTAAGATCCTGGGATTCTGTGATTAAGGAAGACAGTGTGGTGGCTCAGTGGTAAAGAATTCACCTGCCTGGGCACTCAAAACTGGTGCTCTGGGAAAACCCAGAGGGATGGGGTGGGGAGGGAGGTGAGGGGGTCAGGATGGGGGGACACATGTACACCTGTGGCTGATCCATGTCGATGTAAGGCAAAAACCACCATAATGTTGTAAAGTAATTAGCTTCCAGTTAAAATAAATAAATAAACTAAAAAAGAAAAATAATAATCCTTCTGCCAATGCAGGAGGCCTAGGTTTGATCCCTGAGTTGGGAAGATCCCCTGGAGAAGGAAACAGCAACCCACTCCATTATTCTTGCCTGGGAAATCCCATGGACAGAGGGGCCTGGTGGGCTACAGTCCATGGGTCACAAAAGAGTCAGACACGACCTAGTGACTAAAACAACAACAACAAGGTGTAATCACAATGAAACGACACAAATAAAATGCGGTGGAGCGTGTGGTGGGAGAGCTGCAGAGGCGGCGGAGGCGTCCCCATATCAGCACTGATGTTATTGTCCTTATTTGAATAAACACACTTACGCCTCACCAGTAATATGCTTGGTAATAAAATGAATTTATGTCCAGTGACCCCTTAATTTGCTGTTTATTGCCCTTAGATCATTTAAAAGGTTAAATAGAAAAAGCCACAAGCAGGCCCACAGTGTGCCTCAGAGGTCTCCTTAGGGCCCATTTCCTGAGTCAAATGGAATTGAGATGTGTAGTGCCATGTTATTTATTTATTTATTTTTTTGCAATATTTATGTGTGCCTGTGAAGGGGAGAGAGAGAGAGCGAAGCCAATTGCAGGACTTGAATTTATAGTTACTAGGTCAACAACTTGATCACCAACTTGAATTTCAGACTCTCACCTTGTTAAGATAGTCCAGACAAGGCCAGATTCCATAGTAGAGGTAAAGGTCAAAGTCCCTCTTTCAGGAGGGTCCAGCGCCTCCTGTGGTCTCCTGTGGTAGACCACACTGAAGCCCCTCACCCCTCACTGCTGTTTCTTGAGCATCTATTAGGTGATGGGTACTGAGTGAGATACTTTACAAATGTTATATATAATCTTTCAAGGTAAGTAGTACTATTGTCGTTTTCAGATTTTAAAAAAGTCACATAGGGATTATGTGTCTTGGTCAATTTCACAGAGAACTCAATTCATTTTTGGAAGTCAACATAACTATGTGATTGAAAAGCAAGATAAAAGATAGGTGAAAAATTATAGACCTATCTCAAGTCTGAGTGTAGATGTAAAATTAGAAAATAGAATGCAGCAGTATATCAAAAAGATAATACACTCCGATCAAAGAGGGTACATTCTAGGGAGGCAAGAATGGCTCAATAGTAGGAAGTATTAGGAAATCAACATAACTCACCATATCAACAAACTAAAGTAGCATCATATATTAGTAGATGCTGAAAGGCCTGCTGGTAAAATTCTCCTGTAATAAAACTAACTCAGGAATAAGACAAACTACTTAAACTTGATAGAGAATAAAACCTAGTAACTTACAGTGAATTCTAAACAGTGAATCACTAAATGCAATTTCACTACAATAGGAAAAACTTACTTTTGCTGTCTTAGAATATGGTCTTGGTGATTCTTACAAATGAATTAAGCTAAGAAGATAAAATAGTTTGTCTGTGAGAAAGAAGAGATGACATTATCTATTTTTGCTGAAGGTTATAATACTTGAAAAACCCAAGAGAATCTAGTAAGAAAGGAAAAAAAAAAGTTGCTTGGTTGTGTCCCACTCTGAGATCCCGTGGACTGTACTCTGTGAAGTTCCTCTGTCCTTGGAATTCTCCAGGCAAGAACACTGGCGTTTGTAGCCATTCCCTTCTCCAGGGGATCTTCCTGACTCAGGGACCGAACCCAGGTCTTCTGCATTGCAGGTGGATTCTTTACTGTCTAAGCCACCAGGAAAGAAAGGAAACCCCACCAGAAATAATAAGGGAGGCCGGTAAAAGTGTTGGGTCACAGCTCTTCTCTATACTGTGGAGGTCATGCAGCTGGTCAACTTTGGCCCCTGGAAGTGGGATTTGAGCCCATGTCTGATGATGAAGCCTGTGCTCTTTCCACCTTGTGAAGTGTTTATTCTCACAGCTATAACCCAGGCATGTGAAGGGAGAGTCTCTTAAAGCTGCCAATTTCAGCTGGTCCAGCAGATTGGGTGGGGTTTACTCTGCTGGGGGGAGGTGGGGGCAAGATGAGAGGGTTGGCACAGGATTTTTACTGGAAGACCCTCAAGACTTCTGCTACCAGAAGTGCTGTCCCTCCAGGGGCTGGGATATTGGGCTTTATGGTGGGGAGGGGGTGACAGTGGTCTAGTCTTAGCCATTTAGGTGCTGAGCAGACAACCAAGGGAGCTGCCCCTTTCTCTAGTTGGCCCCGAGAAACCATGCTTGTGTTGCTTGTTGCCCTTGTCTCCTACTGTCCACTTGAGTGGTGGGGCCTGCCGGGACACAGTTTTAGAGATTTGGTGTATCAGAGACTCCTAGGGCCATCAAGGACACAAGCTCTTGGCTAGCACATCTACCAAGGATGCCTCAGATTTATGGTTTTCATGGTGGAAGTGGAATGTGTTTTTCTGGCACAAAAATCACCGAGTGATACATCAAAAATATGATCCACGTAAAGCTTTTTTACTTCATACAGAGTCAAGCACAGGGTGGCAGAAGGAGTCCTGCACAGGAGTTCAGGAGACCTGGGTCCCCATGGCTGGCTCAGCCACAACTAGCTGTGTGTTCCCAGGCACATTGCTGGGCCTCACTTGCCTCATCTATACACAGGATATTGGATGAAATTCAATAGACTCCAGTCTGTGCATGCTAAGTCACTTCAGTCATGTCTTACTTTGTGACCCTATGGACTGTAGCATGCTAGGCTTCTCTGTTTATGGGATTTTCCAGGCAAGAATACTGAAGTGGGTTGCCATGCCCTCCTCCAGTGGATCTTCCTGATCCAGGGATTGGACTTGCGCCTCCTACATCTCTTGCATCGGCAGGCGGGTTCTTTACCACTAGTGCCACTCAGGAAGCCAAAAGAGACTCCTAATGCCTTTTAACTTCAAAGTTATAATAATGATCACCCTTCTCATGTGCCCAGCTCTGTTCTAAAGCGCTTTGCACAGAGCTTTGCTCATCATAACGACCCAAAGTGAAGTACTATTATGATTCTCGTTTTCCCTCTGAAGAAACCTGAGACACAGAGAGGGCAAGTGACTTTCTGAGGGTCTCACAGCTAGGAAATGATGGTGCTCTTCCTCAGTTCAGCTTCTGTGGTTTTTCTTTACCTGGGTCCATGCTGTTAAAGCGCTGTTGGTTCTGTCCAGTGGGGTGAGGAGTGTTGGGGGTGGGAGACAGTTTCTCAAGGAAACCTAGCTCTGGAGTGGATGGATGAGCCGCTGCCTGGGAGATTGATGGCAGCGGTTGCAGACATTGCTGACATTTTTGTTTTCCTTTCTTCTTTTCCTCTCTAGTCTGCGGCAAGCGCTACAAGAACCGGCCAGGACTTAGCTACCACTACGCTCACACTCACCTGGCCAGCGAGGAGGGGGATGAGGCCCAAGACCAGGAGACCCGGTCCCCACCCAACCACAGAAACGAGAACCACAGACGTGAGTTCCTGGGTGTTGGGTTGGGTGAGTGGTAAGGTGGATGGGCAGGGCTACAAGCTTTCCTTTCTGTTCACCTGTGGGATTGTCTGTTGGCACCTGTGGATTGGCCTCAATGACCTGTGATGAGTTGGCTATTTCAGCCCCCCAGATACCCCTGTAGGTCAGAGGAGCCCCAGGCTTAGAATGGGCTGAATAGGGGTGGCACACCCAGCTCTACTCCCAGAGGATAGAAGGTAAGTGTTAAAGCCAAGGGAAACCTCCTTACCTGGCCATCATCAAATGCCAGACCTGGCAGTCTTTTTCCCCAGCTCTAGAAGATCCATTCACAGCTGCTAATCTGAGTTGGGCAAAGCCCTGGGGTGTGTCAGTTCAAACAGACCTTCCAAATGCCTCCTTGGCCACCAAGAGACACAGGATATTCTTGATCCATCATCTTGGCTCTTACAGGGTCACAATTTGGGTAAAAAAATACTGCCCTAGAGTTTCCATGCTCTTCCCTTGAGCTCTCAATCAGCAAACATGACCTAGGTGTGCTTGTCATTGGGGATGATGGGCTCTGGAGAGCCAAAATGATCCTGAAATTTGTGTTTCCATTTCTATTCTTTCTTTCCTTCTTTGGCTCCCAGTTATGAATTAGAGAGTTGCAAAGGGCTTAGCATTCACCATATGACTTCTCTCTACGACATTCTTTATGGTTTCGGGACCCACCCCAAACTCAGGATGGGATGGGATGATGGGATCTTTAGGGCTTGCTTCAAAATGTGGGTCATTCTAGGATCATGGGGTGAGTAATAATTGTGGACATGCCATGTGTTTTTTATTTTGTTCAGAAGATTTTGTGGTAGGGGTTCCTACAGCGAATAAGTCAATGTAATACAAGGGACCAGACTGTTAAAAATATTCAGATTCTAGAGTTTGAGGGTGACTCCTGTGCATGTCAGTCAGTCATCTCAGTCAACTGATGTCAATTGACTGCCTTCATCCAGTATTTGCGGAGAAGGCAATGGCACCCCACTCCAGTCCTCTTGCCTGGAAAATCCCATGGATGGAGGAGCCTGGTGGGCTGCAGTCCATGGGGTCCCTAAGAGTCAGACATGACTGAGCAACTTCCCTTTCACTTTTTACTTTCACGCATTGGAGAAGGAAATGGCAACCCACTCCAGTGTTTTTGCCTGGAGAATCCCAGGGATGGGGGAGCCTGGTGGGCTGCCGTCTATGGGGTCGCACAGAGTCAGACACGACTGAAGCGACTTAGCAGCAGCAGCAGCAGCAGCAGCAGCAGCAGCATCCAGTATTTGAAACAATGAACACACATTGGCCAAAACCTTTCTTTGGATTAGTCTGGGTTCTCCCCTAACCCCCAACCCACTTTCCCCTTGTAGCATTGCCTTCTGTCTTAGTTTCCTCAAATTCCCCAAACAAAGTATCAAAGACTGGCTGGCTTACCAGAGATTTGTTTTCTCACAGTTCCGGAGCTGGAAGTTCCACATCAAGGTGTCATGGGGGGGTCTCCTTGGAGGCCCCTCTCCTTGGTTCGCAGGCGGCTGCCCTCCTGCTGCCTCTCATATGGTCATCCCTCTGGGCACATGTACTTCTGAAGTCTCTGTGTGTGTCCAAATTTCCTCTTTTTATAAAGACACCAGTCAAATTGGATTAGGGCCCATCCTAACAGTCTCATTCTAACTTTTGCTTTTTCATCATCTCTTTAAAGGCCCTAGATCCAAATATAGTCCTATCCTGGGGTACTGGGGGTTAGGGTTCAACATGTGAGTTTGCGGGGAAGGGGGGACATGATTCAGACCATAGCACCTTCTTTAATTCTCACTCTTTTTCAGAAGCCCTTCGTGAACCTCTCTTCTGGTGCAAGCCAGACCCTTTATTTTCTCATTGACTGTTGTTATCTGGACAGAACCTGAAAGCAGGCAGGAGGTGCCCTCCTCCGCATGTCAGCCACAACGCTGAGGTCTCTGCCTGCTGCCTGGGGAGAGGTTCCCTTGGTCCCATCACCCTTATCTTCCAGGAAGGAACATATATTGACCTGTACCAATCAGTTGGGTTTTGCGTCCTATCATCTCTCCTCTCTCCCTGCCTCTGATCTAAGTAGCCAAGGCATAGCTATTGTCTCCTGCCTCGAGGAGGCTGTGAGTGGTCTCCTTTGATTTGGCTTGCTGTCTGGAAGGTGTTGATTGGCAAAGTTTGCTCCCTCTAAACTATTTGGTATTATTTCCCACTGCCCCCAGTGCTGGCTTGTGGGCGTCCATGGTGGCTCAGTGGTAAAGAATCCACCTGCCAAGGCCGGAGACACGAGTTTAATCCCTGGGTCGGGAAGACCCCCTGGAGAAGGAAACGGCAACCCACTCCAGTATTCTTACCTGGAGAATTCCAAGGACAGAGGCGCCTGGTGGGCTAGAGTCCATGGGGTCACAAAGAGCCGTGCACAACTGAGTGACTGACACTTTGTCTCCTTTATGGTAGTGGTGTCTTAGTTGCTAAGTCGTGTCCGACTCTGTGAGCCCATGGCCTGTGACTCTCCAGGCTCCTCTGTTCATGGGATTTCCCAGGCAAGAATACTGAAGTGGGTTGCCATTTCCTTCTCTAGGGGATCTCCCTGATCCAGGGATTGAACCCAGGTCTCCTGCATTGCAGGCAGATTTTTTACCGACTGAGCCACCTGGGTATCCCCTTTAAATCTCTTCTCAAAGGTCAGGCCGTTTTGTTCCTCACGCCGCAGGGTTTGGCGTGCCTGTCTTTGGTCTGGATCTTTGTGTGTGTGTGTGCATGGTGACGGCAGCCACAGAGGGGGGTTCCTTGTGACCTCCAGGTATACTGTGGGCCCAAGTGGACCCCGGGGTTCTCCTCCTTAGCCATTCCTGCGGGTCCCTCCCAGCTGTCCGTTCACTTCCAAGGTGGGCACTGGCCCCTGTGATTCTCTATCCACTGGGCTCTCCTCACGCAGTCTTGTAGGTCATTGTCCTTATGTCCTCACTGTGAGGCTGGGCAGCCTTGCTTAGGGAGGAAGCTGCATCTTTTCTCCTGGAGGGAGATGCATCCCTGAGTATCTGGCCATGTGTTCCCCTCTCTCAGGGGGTTTGCCAGCAAGCGCTCTCGCTTCAGCCCAGCTCCATCCCCTTCCTCTCATTCTGCTCTTGAGAAATCAGGTTCTTCATAAAGGATCATACAACCACTGGAGGAGTTTAAACTGCATAGAAAAACAACAGCTGTTGCTGGGCTGATCCAGGGCCTTCTCACACGAGGAAGGTTCTAGAACCCTCACAAGCACCATTTTGACGACATCTCCTCCCAAAGCCTCTGAGAAATCTGTGATTAACTCTAATTTTGCTAGCAGGGATGGGGGAGATGGGCTGTGGCAGAGATACCCTCCGTGTCCACAGAGCCCTCCCTCCCCTCTTCCCCAATTTCTCTGGACAAATCCAAGAGACAGCGCTCTCTTCCCGGGCTCCCTGCACACAAACACACCGAATGTTTGCTGCTCTGAATGTGTGCTCCATTGCCTCCCACATGTCCCTGGCGAGCAGCCTCCTCACCATTTTCTCATGCGCTCTAATTGCCAGCATCATTAATACCCAGTCATTAGCTGCTCCCACTGTTTGGGGGTAGGGGTGGGCGCCCATCCATCCTGCCTCTAAATGCTACAGGGGCTTTGCGGGGGATCGAAGGTGACAGCTCGGCAGCATCCCGAGGTCTCAGCCTGCGATCCTCCCTTGGCAAAGCTTTTGGAGTTGGGGGAGGGAGGCAGGAGCGCTCCATCCGGGAGGCTCATCTCCAGTCTGCCCGCTGCCCCAGGAAAGGTTCTGGATGCCATTGAGGTGGGAATGCTGACTTTTCCCACTTTGAGCAGAGCTGCAGGGGGACCCAGCTGCTTGTGAGCACAGGCCTGTGGGGAAAGCCGCCCTTACAGACGCTGGAGATGTCACGAGCCTCCGCCTTTGCACCACCTGCAGCCGCAGAGACCTTTTGACTTTGGTCCTCCTCCTGTCCCTTGCGCATCCCCCCAGCTGCGTCTCCAGCAAAGCCCATTGCTCGTCCCTGCTCCTACGTTGCTGGAAGGGCAGAGTGGAGTGCTGGAACTGGCTCTGACTGCCCCCTACCCCCTGCCCCAGGCTGGCCTGTGTGGCCTCTCCTCTGTCCTCCCGCCCCTCCCAGCTTGGCCGCCTTTGTTCCTCTCCTAGGCTCGAATTTTCTCCTGAATATATGCTGTGTGCCTTCGCGGTACATCTGTCCCCTTTGCCGTGTGCCCTTCTCTCTCTGCCTCAACTCCAGGCAGTGCAGGGCTGTGGGAGCTCAGACACCCCTCCTTGGGAGACAGGACTTTTCTGATGGGGTCCTCCCTGCCTGAGCTGCCACCCTTCTCCTCCCTGTAGGAGGCTGGATTCTTCCTACTTCTTCTATTGATATTTCTCTGACCACCTTCATCTACTTTCTTCTTCTTTTTAAAAAGCATTTTATTTATCTGGCTGTGCCGGGTCTTAGTTTTGGCACATGGGATCTTTAGTGGCATGATCTTTAGTTGATGTGGGATTTAGTTCCCTGACCAGGAATTGAACTTATGCCTCCTGTCTTGGGAACAAGGCCTCTTAGCCACTAGACCACCACTAGACCCCTTCATCTACTTTCTACAAATGCCAATCACCATGTATGCACATGTGTGCCTATATGCTTACAGACAGATACACACACACACACACACACACACACACACACAGACTGTATTTATGTGAATAGATGGAGGGAGGGTTTGGGCAGGTTAGGACTCTGAGAGCTGCCACTCAGAGGCGTCCTGTTGTGACTCCGTCAATGTCACCTTGGTAAAGAGGGTAGCAGCAAGAGCACCGGGTTACAATTCAAAACTCCTTTGACACAGGCTCACAATGTCAAAGTTCTTCTAGAATTTCTTTTTATCTTCTTTGCACAGTGGTAATCTATTACAGACGATGTTTTCTTTTATTTATTTATTTATTTATTTTTTATCACAACCATAG